CCATAATCTATAGACAAAATCTAGTAGAACTCCTCCGACCAAAGCAAGAATCACAACACTTGAAAAAAAAATCCTTTTTTTTATTACAACTCCCATAATCCCCCAACCAGCATCACCAATGTAGTCTAAGCTCTGGTCCAAAACAAGAGAACTTTTCCAAGCTTAAGGAGAATCCATCGGATTGCTGTCTCACTTCTACCATGCTCAGACAGGGTGCCGAGTTCCTATTTATGACTCCCATTGCTCCAGATATTCGGGATCAAATTGATTTTCTGGATTGATCTGAGCCTGGCTTCCAGCTTTGTCTTGGCAATGAGGTCTCTATGGCTGCCTTGGGGGACAACCTGCACTGAGAGACAGATGGGAGGGCCCCACTCTGTGAACGGTCTGGGTTCTTGGAAGCTCTCAAGACCAACAGTACCATTTGAAGTTTCCTAAGTGAGGGGAGCATGGGGCATGGGAATGCTCTTGGGAGGACTCCAGTCACTGGTGTCGAGAGGTTGCTGCTGCTTTATGTGTGGTATGTGAGGTGTTACAAAGATTCCTCTTATTTCCCATGTTGCTAGATTCCTACACAAAGATCTGGTCTGCTACTGGCTTAATCTTTTTATGCAAGTGTGAGCAGCTAAGCCTCCATGTCCCCATAGCCTTCCATGGGTCCCTGCCAAGAATATATGGCAGGCATGGTGTGTATCCTTTCTCAAGGGCTTTTTTCAAGTTTATCCAGTCCTAGAAACAAGCTGCAGGATGGATCAAGAAAGGTGGAGGGGAAACCCTGCCAAGGAATTTTCTCACCAAGAGAAGGATATAATGGAGATGGTGAGAAGGATATAATGGAGACAGAGGAAGAATGTGAAGTGCCATATTTTTCCGTATACAAGACGCCTCCATGTATAAGATGCCCCCCACTTTTCTAATCCAAAATTAAGAAATCTTAAATGGGGCTTAGCAAGTGTAGGGGAAAAGGTATCAAAGCGCTGCAGGATCGCTTTGATCCCTGCTTTCCCCTCCACTTGTTTTTGTTCTCTCCTCAGCTTACTTCTGTGTATAAGACGACCCCCAATTTTTAGTCTAAAGATTTTAGACAAAAGTATAGTCTTATACATGGAACTATACAGTAGTTGGTGAGGAAGAAAAGTGAAAGTAAAGACTGGGCTGATGCTCTGGAGTAGACTGGAGAGAATCCAGATCCTCCCTTGAGCCCCATCCTTATTTCCTGCTGAAGGCACTTATTATAGAAGACCTTTGGGAGTCTGAGGAGGCTGGTCCCAACTGAGGGTCATATCAGAGTGCAAGAGGAGAGATCCTGCTGCTGTAACAGAATCCTATGCCAGGAATAACAATTTTAGCATCCAAGACATCCAGTTAATGACATCCATAAAGGGAAGATGAATGTGTACAAACCTTGACTTTGAGCTGGATTTCTTGTGCATAGATTAGGGGTGAGGCCAACCACTCATCTACTTGCTATTGAGGATTTAGTGGATTAGAGTTAATTCCCCTCCAAAGACATGGTGGTAAACATGTAGTGAAGAGGCAAATGGGTCTAAATAAATGTTCAATGGTTCCATTGTATGCCACCTCAGAGTCTCCTTCAAGATGACGAATGACAGCAGGGTGTCTTTTGTGGTCCTATTCTCAATGGGTGAGGTGTAAACATTCACAGAAATTTAAAAAGTTGTACTTCTTTCCTAGGTTTTCTGTTTCTGTCCATGGATCGCCAGCAGTGGTTATCAGCACTACCTGCAGCAGTGAATAAGTGAAAGTGTGTTGTAGAAGTACTACCTTTTATGGTGTATGTGTAAATCTTAAATCCAGTAGCAATCAATTTAATGGCATGATCTTGACTTTTACTATTATATGTTACTATTATTCCTCCTGACATATGCCAGGCCCCGTCCTTCCTTACCTTTAGAAAATTTGCAAAGGCATAACTTTATAACGAAGCCTTTAATAACATTCTTCCTCTGAGATAGGAATTTATTAACTGTACGTTTATTTCAGAGCTTAGTTTTTGTTGCTGTATGATTCTGTTCTATTTTTTCATTCCTTACATTATTCTTTACACAATTCTGTTATTTCATCTTGTTGGGAGGATCATGAAGTTGGATGTGGCTTTAATTTCCTTATGTTCACTGCCCAGAGTAGCAAGCGTTCACTAAGATTTTTGGGGGGGATATAAATCAAATAAATAAATAAACATTGGCAGGACTTTGGCCATGAATGACTTTAGAATCCCTTCCACTTCTACAATTCCATTATTCTGAGTGCACAAGCAAAACTAAAAAGTTGTACTGGGCATGCAACAGACTAAGGTGGCTTCTTTTTGCTGGAAATCTGATTATCTCTTTGTCTTCTTTTTCTACGTCATGCATAATTATATGAGCCTCTCTATCATGTGTCTCCCCCAGTCATTGTGTCCCTCCAAACTAAAATGCCTCAAAAGCTTTAATCTCCCTTCATAGCTATGGGACTTGCTCCACTTCCATCCTTTGATCATTTTCATGGTGCATTTCTTCATATTTGCAGTTCTCTTATAGTCTTTTTTCAGACAGATTGATCAGAATTGAAGGTTAATACCCCAGATGCGCCTATTTGACGTTTTGCAATTAGGGAGAGAAAAAAACAAATTATTTGTGTTTTGTTGCCAGTACAAAAGCTTAAGTTAGGGAGGGGAAAAAACATTGTGTTTTGTTGCCAGTACAAAAGCTTAAATCCAAATGCTATTCTCATCTAAAGTAGATGCATCGACTCAGTGTAATTTACCATTCGGCATTTCATTCAAGGATTCTGTCTGGTCAGGACAAGTACGTAACTGGATTCAGATGCATTTTTCATAGATTAAAGGGACAGAGTTTCTGGATTGTTGTATGTTAAAGGAGAAGGGGGTCAATAAGAAAAGCTAATTGCCAGTTTATACAGGAGGGCACGCTAAGGAGCAAACACACATGTACAGTACTGTGAGTTGCACCTCCTCCCCGCTTTTAATTCAAAAGCACGCACAGGGGGCCAGATCCGTAACTGGCCACCAACCTATGCAAAACATACTTCTCAGTAGCAGCTCCAGTCAGGATCGGCCCCTTTCCCTCCCTGGAACACTGCAACTAGCATTGTCAAAAAGCAATCCATTAAGAAAGACACCTTGAAGATCCTCCTTGAAGAAAGATAGAAATATTTTATTCAAAAATAAAAATAGGACTTCTTGTGTCTGAGGAGTCCCTACTGCCCTCCATTATCTTACTCTTCCTTCATTGCTCTGCAAGTCCAGTTTATTATTTATTTATTATTTATTATAGCCCACCAGCCCAGCTGGGGGAGGGGCATATTAAACAGATTTATTAGAATGGGTTTCATTTGCCCTCGCCGGGTCACCTCCGTCCCTGATCCGTAATGAGACCGAGAGGGTCCTCCTAGATCACGTTTCTATCTATGCCAAGGAAAGTTTCGTTTCTTGATTGTCCTGCTGGCTATTTGCCAGAATTATTTGAATTGCAAGCTTTCATTTTCGTTTCTTTGAAGGGAGGCAGAGGCTGCTTAGTATATATTCTAAGTCAAAGTTAGTTTCCACCTTTTTTTGGGAAAAGAGCGAAGGTAAGCTGTTGACTTCCAGGAATGGTTGGGTGTCTCTTGGAGAAGACTATCTCAAAGTTACAAGCTCCTATATTGTTTTATCTGATGTATTTTGCAATGCGACGCAGTAAACTTATTTTTTGCTTGCTTGCTGCAAGCTCTTAGGATTCCTCTAGTCTGCCTTATTTTCATAGATACACTGCTTTTTTGGCGGGAGTATTTGTTCCTCTTAAATTATTACTACCAAGTGTTTCTTGTCCGAATTTTACTCTTGAAAATACAAAATATACTTTTAGACTACTTTTTTGGACTGGTGGGCCATACTGGCAGTTACTGTATAAAACATTATTTCTTCTAGGCTCAGATTTACGCTTATGAGGGCTAATCATAAACTATTACACTAATACCCAACTTAAAGAGCCAGTCAGTTGAGAGATCATACAGATTTCGTTTAATTCATTTCTTAAATCAGCATATGGATAAAACAGTAATTCTGAAAAAAAGAATATTCTGCCTTTGTTTCTGGGTGATGGACTACCATTTTCCGGCATGCACCGTGTTTGAAGAGGCATTTTCTCCTCAAAAAGTGGGGAAAATAAAATGAAATGCTTTTTTCTAAGGTGTTCTTGCTGCGTAACGTATTATTTGATTTATTTCGCTTCACATTTCTACCTCCCCTTTTCCTCAAAGGAGTGCAATGTGGTCCATGGTTCTTCTCTCCATATTTGTTTTTATAGCAACCATGGAAGGTAGATTAAGACTAAGATACCGTACAGTAAATGACCAAAACAAGCTGATGAATTTTGTGACCCAGTGAGGATTTGAACCTTCATCTCCTTAAACCTAGTCTTAACACTCTTATAAAATTGCTGTTCTGCTCTAGCTCTTATTTTGCCATTTATTTATTTATTGCATTTATACCCTGCCCATCTAGTCAATCAACTACTCTGAGTGGCTTCCAACATATATAATAACAATTTTAAATATAACAAAATACTTTAATTTTTTCCACTTGAGTCATGCCATCTTGGTAATGTGTTGTTTGGAATTAATTGGTATACAGTAATTATATTTTTTATGATTTTATACATGTTATATTGCTGTGTTTTTATCTATGTTAGCCACCCTGAGTAGACATTGTCTAGAGGGGCGGGGTAAAAATCTAATAAATAAATGAATAAATAGATAGATAATATAAAATATAATAGGGTTTACTTTTTTAAACCCTGCCCAATAATTCAGTGCCATTTTAATTTGAGTTTTAATCACACAATTATTAAATTTATGTAAAATGAAAGGTCTTTTTGTGTGTCCTTCCTGCTGTGAGCACACGTTGGGAATTAACAATATGTGTTAAGGTTTTATATTGTGGAGTAAAGTGAGAGTCACTTGACCTTGAAGCAAAATTTCTGTCTTTTCTGATGGAAGGTCACCCCTGTGCGGCTGCCATGGCTTTCGAAACGATCCGGAGAAGTCGTGAGAAACTCGTTGCCTTCCTTGAAAAAGCACCGAGTCTCATCTTGGATGATGCTGCCTCCCAAGGCTTCATCTCGGAGACTGATTACAATGATTTGGATGAGCTGGAGAACCCAAAGGAGAAAATACGAAAACTCCTGGTGAAGATCCAGATCCGGGGGGAACAGATTTGCCACCAGTTTCTGGAATGCATACGGAGCCTCTTCCCAGATTTGCCCCCAGAGTTATGGCCTCCAGCAACTGGTAAGTTAGTGTTCATTAAAACCCTCAATTTCCTGCTTTTTTTGGTTGTTTTCCAGATTTTGTGGCTGAAATCCTGTTGCTTACCGTAAGAAGCTGAAACTAGAGTAGGCTGATTTGAACTGACAGAACTTCTGGATCCGTGGATACACCAAGTTCCCACTGACTCAATGGGCCTACTCTAGTGTGACTTTCTACAGGAAGCAACACGAGTGTCTGAGAGAAACTGAGCTTTTTATTTCAGTCACCCAAATTACACATAATAAATAGAGTTGCAATATTTTTGGTTAGAGCCTCAATATGCAGATCCAGGTATATGGAAAATATTTGTATGTAATTGCACTAATAGAATGTATTAATTTTATTTTTATTTTGCTGTGGTCTCTGGATTAAACAACAAATATTCTGCCTGTCTGTCACTAACCAACAGAATTTCAGCCATTGTGATTTTTACAAGGTACCATATGATCCTCTAACCAAAAACTCTGTGTTTTGAGAGCTGCCAAATCTGCCTGGCTATTCTGATTTTTCAAAAAGTGCCACAGGACTTGTGGAATGTAGACTGCTATGATTATACAGCACCGTAAGATTATAATAATTAACCATGAATGTTGCACCTTAGCTTCACCTACGTTTATGGGTCCTACAGTATCTGTCTTTGCAACATACCTGTGTGTAAGCTGTTATTATCCCATTTCACAGAGTGAGTAATTGATGCTGAGAGCTGGAGACTTTGCAGCATTTGGTTACTTCAGAATTTAGGTGGGGTTTAGGCTTAAAAGCAAAATGTGCTTAATATGAGCTAGGCGTCAGGCCCAGAATTTGTTCTATAGGAGGAATCAAACATGGTACATCTGAGGATGTAAGATGTGAGAAAATGATCTAGGGAGGGAGAGCAAGGCTTCTGGAAAGAATTGGAGCTGATCTTTATATGTTTGGGGTCAGAGGGAAAGACATCTTGATCAGAGGCCTGTTATGAATCCAGGACCTGTTATTGTTTAGAGTAGAGTGGTGCCTCTCTAGACGATTGCCTCGCGGGATGAGGAATTTGCTAGACAATGGGTTTTTGTGATCGCTATTGTGCTTCGCAAAACGATGGTTCCCTATGGGCGATTTTCGCTAGATTATTTTTCCTCATTGGAATGCATTGAGTAGCTGTCAATGTTTTCCTCATTTGAATGCATTGAGTAGCTGTCAATGCATTCCAATGGGGACCTGCACTCGCTAGACGATGTTTCCCTATGGACGATCTTTGCTAGACGACAATTTCCCCGTTGGAATGCATCTAGTGGATTTCAATGCATTCCAGTGAGGAACCGCGCTTTGCAGCAATTTTGACGGAACGGATTAACATAGTTTAGCGAGGCAGTGTGCTTCGCAGCGATTTTGATGGAACGGATTAACATAGTTTAGCGAGGCAGTACATTCCCAATCTCTGTTGCCACTTTTGTGCAAGCAGCAAATTCTAGCAAGGTAGTCTAGATAAAAATTACATTTTTGAATGATAGAAGGACTGATCTGTTGGCACCTTGGGCAGATTTCATGCCCCTCTTACTGCTCCTGTTTGGTTATTTAATCTGGTCTGTTTTAAGTTTCGATTTTTCCAAAGCAATTACATTCCTCTAAATCTCATGACTCAAACCAGCCATCTGTAGCAGAAGAGTTTCCTGTTTTTTGACCCCAACAACCAGAACTTGCTTCCTGCCTATATCTTCTGTGACTTGTAAAAGTATTGCTAAGCATTTTGTTCCATATTTCCTTGGTGGGGGGTGGCTGCAAGTTTGAGGGCAATGGGTTTAACTTTCCTTTCAATGATAAAGCACCGGAAGCTCATGATGTCTTCCTCCTTAACATTCCTTCCCTGCTGGAGGTTAGACATCATCATGGCTACTATCACTCCGAAAGCGCCGGTTCTGAACAGTGGAGGGTTTTATTCAAACCAATCTCCAAAATTCCTTCACCACTACCTTTATAGTAGTTATGCACATACTCTCAAGTAGATTTCTGCTGCTTGCATAGGATTCCCAAAGCAACACCAGCACAATTCTATGGCTGCACTACATGGAAAAAATGCTGGAAATGCTATGGGATTGGGAAAGTCAGATCTGCATTTTTTTTCTTGACCACATGACGTAAAACAAATGTTAATAAGCCCAGAGTCTCTCCCCTCCTAGAGTTTTTCCCCTCAGCTGCTGGGGCTGCTTTTCCCCCCTGACAATAAATCTATTTGTATCTGCTCTGGCAGTGTAATAATTTGATCTCATGCAGAAAAGTGCGTTTTGTGGCTGGTGCAATGGCATGGCAGTTGGTGAGGGGCAAAGATCCAGCTTCAGAAGGCTGGGTCTTTGCAAATAATTTCATTTCCTTCCTTTTTGACAAACAGCTTGTTGGCAGTGCTGTTGTGCTATGGCATTTAGGCAAGGAGAGAGAGAGAAGAACAGAAAAGAAATAGAAAATGAGAGATGTAAATAAGAGGAGGAAGTGCCTTATTTACAGCTTATTAAGGCAGTTCTCTATTCATGCTTCTTGCAGGACTACAGGAGAGTTAACAAGCTGCAAACAAGGCTGTTAAGCCATTTTCCTCCTCCTTTTCATAGACTCATAGAAAAGTGAAGTTGGAAGGGGCCTACAAGGCTATCAAGTCCAACCCTCTGCTCAACGCAGAAATATAATCAAAGCATATCTGCCAGGTGATTATCCAAGTTTTTAATGCCTCCAGTGTTGGAGCACTCACCAACTCCCAAGGTAACTAATTACACTGTCGTACTGCTCTAACAGTTAGGATGTTTTTCCTAATATTAAACCAAAATCTGGCTTCCTTTAACTTGAGCCCATTGTTGCATGTCTTGCACTCTGGGATGATCGAGAACAGATCTTTCCCCTCTTCTGTATGACAGCCTTTCAAATATTTGAAAAATACTATCATGTCACCCCTCAGCCACCTTTTCTCAAGGCTAAACATGCCCAATTCTTTCAGCCTTTCCACATAAGGCTTGGTTTCCAGCCCCCTGATCATCCTTGTTGCCCTCCTCTGAATTTGTTCCAATTTGTCAGCATCCTTCTTGAAGTGTGGTGTCCAGAACTGGACACAATACTCAAGGTGAGGCCTAACCAGTGCTGAACAGAGAGGGCCTAGCACCTCGTGAAATTTGGAACTATACTTCTGTTAATGCAGCCTAAAATAGCATTTGCCTTTTTTGTAGCCACATTACACTCTTGGCTCATATTTAGCTCGTGATCTACGACAATTCCAAGATCTTTCTCACTCGTAGAGCGAAGCTAGTTTTGAGACCTGTTAATGTAAACAGACATGGGGAGACCTGAATTCCACAGTGTGACTTCAAAGCAAGTAAATTCACATTTCTCTTGCTGTGTAGTTGTCCTCCTGTGTCTACATGCAAAGTGCCAAATTGCTCTGTGTTCTTTCATCACACTGGACATTATAACACTTTTCTGTCCAGTATGAAGCTTAGAATCTTGCTTGGTTGGTTTTTAAATTTCTGAGTTTCTGTCAAGCAGAATATTAACTGGGCTTTTTAAACCATTGTATCAGGAATAAATAATGTAAGAAAATGTAATATTTACTATGATCAATCTGTATGATGTTCTCGATGCTGACATATGCAAAATATCAGATCTCCCCCCTAAGGAAGTTATGAAATAAATATTGAGGGTGGGTGAAGAGGAAAGGAGTAACAATGATAAGGAATGAATTATTAGCAAATCAAATGTTGCCATATCTTTTGAGATTATATATACAGTAGTTTGGGACATGTAAAAGAAAAGAACTGTTTCTTCTGCTTCTATCAATATGACCCCAAGAGGAACAAACTTTCCCGTGGTCATCTGAGCAATACTGTACAATACTTAGATTTCAGTTTCACACTAGTGAAATACTGGTTTTTTTTTATCTTTAATTTCATCATGCTTCTGATTGTGAACAATGTGCCCAATTTGTACCATTTTCTTTTTGCGTAATACTATGTTGCTTAACATTTTATATTTTTCTTTTCCTCTTAACGCCTTATTTTCAGTTCCCCTTTGGACCTGTCCAAACCTTTGTTGCAGTTTACTCACAAAAATTTGGGGCAGTGTTGGGGGGGGGAATAAGTGTACATGTGGTACTCCTGAAAGCCTCCACTGCATTTTCCGCTTCACCTCCCTCTGAACCACACACAGGACTTGGCCTTCCTCTTTCTTTTACTCAGGCCTTTCTCCCTATGCTGGGTTTCTTAGAAAAGCCAGCTAATGCTGGAGATAAACATAATGTGGGAAGCAAGGGGGAAATCCCTTCCATCTTGTTCCAAGCAGTATTTAGTTTAAAGTTTCTGTGCAGAGGTCGTAACCCAGCGGTTTCTACCAAAGCAGAGTAAAATAACTACATTCGTTACAACAAAAACACAAGAAGAATAAAAACCAAAGTATCGTTGTGCTTTCAAGATTAACAGATTTATTTCGGTGCAAGCTTTTGAGGATTAAATCTACGAGTCTTGAAAGTGGAACAGTTCTTTCACTTTTGATTTTCTGGTGTTTTTTGTTAACATGTCCTGAAACAAACTAATATGCCTGCCTCTCTGAAAAACAAACAATGTGCAGGTCATCTCAGGTGTAGTCACCACAGGAAATGGTGGTGTTACCTCAGTTTGATTCCACTGTAATTGTCCTAGTTTTCATCCAAGAGAGTCTTTGGATGTGTAGTTTGGTGGGATATTTTGAATTCTCTCACAAGGGAGCTCCGGTGCACTGCCATGAGTTGTGGATGCTATTTCTCCAAAAAAGGAAGTTTCCCTAACTGGGCAAAAGTATATTACAGTGGTGCCTCGCAAGATTAATTTAATTCATTCCGCGGTTAATGTTGTCTTGCGAAAAATTGATCTTGCGAAACGCATTTCCCCATAGGAATGCATTGAAATCTAAATAAAGCGTTCCTATGGGCAAAAAAGGTCAGAACAAAGCCAAATTTGGTTTACAAAGGGTTTATTAAGTGCTCTTTAAAGCCATGCATATTGTGCAGATGATTTTAAAAATTTCAATCAAAAAACTTTAACTTTTTAAACATCATAGAAAAACATTTAAAAATCAGCAAATATGAGGCAGGAACAAAAAACGGAAAACATTCGTCTTGCAAAACACGGCCATAGGAACATTTGTCTTGCGAGTCATCAACCCCATTGCCAAAACCATTTGTCTTGTGAGGTTTTGTCCTGCGAGGCATTTGTCCTGTGAGGCACCACTGTATTGTGTTTGAGAGCATTTGCTTAGATAAAGATTGGTCTTTACCATTAACATTGTTCAAAGAAGAGAAAGAGAAGGGCCTGAAAGCTAAAAGCCTGGGTATCTTGTTTGTACTGTATAAGCAATACAGTGGCGCCTTGCTTGATGAGGATAATTTGTTCTGTTCAAATCACTGTTAAGCGAAATCCTCGTCAAGCGAAACGAGAAAGCCCATTGAAATGCATTGAAAACCGGTTCAATGCGTTCCAATGGGCAAAATACCTCAGCGTCCAGAGAAGATCCTCCATAGGGCGGCCAATTCCCGATACTGGAATGCGAGGAATCCATCCTAAAGCACAGTGGGGAGCCATTTTCCACAGCGGGGAGCCATTTTGAAACCTGACGATCAGCTGTTTTTGATCGTTGTTAAGCGAAAAATCGGTTCCTGAAGCAGGGAACCGATCATTGTAAAGCGAAAAAAGCCCTTTGAAACATCGCAAAAGCGATCGCAAAAACATTGTTGTGAAGCGATTTCCTTGTCTAACAAGGTAATCGTCAAGTGAGGCACCACTGTATATGCTACAGCAATTGGTGATTATTGTCATGAGTGCTTCCGAAGACCTGGACACAGAAGGGTTAACTGTGGCTGAAGAGAATGTGGAGAGATCAGAAACACCTGAACCGCCTCCAGATTCTCCCTCCACAGCAGACAGGCTTCGGGGCAGGCTTCGGGAAAGACTCCATTATCTTTGACTTGGATTATAGTTTCACCTGTTATTGTTGTTTCTATAGATTTACATAGCTTTTAGTATATCTCAGGATACAGTTCCCCTGATGGTGTTTTCCATTTTCATTATTTTAATTTCCTTATTTGCTTTTGGTTTTGCTCTCAGTTTAAACTTCTGAGTCATTCTCTTTGACCTGTGCAGGTTGGCTCTTTTGGGTGTGGGGTGGATTGGGCTACGAAGGATCTGTTGAGGTTGGGGACAGAAAAGATCTACCAGTTGGCATGCTCCTCCTGTCCGAACAGCGATCAGTTAAGCACTTCTCCTAATCTTCTGTAGAAGGTCAAGGGAAGTTAAATTATTATTTTCCTGGATCAGTACTCTCTCCCTCGTTCAGTGCTGCTTTGTTTTCTCCATGTCCCCCTCCCTGATTCCCTTCCCTCATTCTTCCCCCCCCACCACCCTTTCCCTTGGAATCTGCAGCCAAAATGGCAGATGGAAGCTAAAGCTGCTGGAAGCCGCTACCTCCTGATTAAAAAAAAGCTAAATAAAAAAATGCATGCTTTACCGCTGGCGCACAGCAGCTATTAAGGTGGAAGGATAGCTTAATTTGAGTCGAAACACATGCAAATGCAATCTTTAAATTTTTTTTATCCAAACCCTGCCATTGGCAATCCACTGTATATATGTTAGCATGGATGCAAAAATTGTTTCAATTGCTGGCCAGCAGGACTCTCCTCTTGTTTACTTGGTTCCTGACTGTTCCAAGCTTTGCTGGTGGGGATTCCATAAGAAGAATATACAGTAGTCCTATCTTGTACCTAGGCAGGCAAATACTGACACACTTGCAGTGTGTAAGTCCTCACTATGTACCCACATTGAATTTCTTGTATTAATAATGCTCAATTTCTAAAAACCTGGATAATTAAATGAAAATAATGCTGAAAAGATTCATTATTTCCAAGAATTTTAAGATGATATATATGGCATAAAACAGTTACTGACTCTGAAGGTCTCTCTTAGCTTGTGGCCCTACAGCATGCCTAAATCAAAATGAAACTCAAAACCATGATCCTGCAAATAGTACTTTGGAGAAAAACAGAGAAGAAAATACAGACTCAGTCACCTCCTTTCCACTGAATGGAAACAAGGACTCAGAAGGTATACCAGGTACAAAAATCTATTTATAAATACTATTTAATACAGTGGTGCCTCGCTTAGTGACGTTAATCCGTTCCAGGAAAATCGTTGCTAAGCGATTTTTAAAGCCCATAGAAACACATTAAAACGTGTTTAATGCGTTCCTATGGGCTTAAAAACTGACTTTATGCGAAGATCCTCCATAGGGGCGGCCATTTTCGGTGCCTCTAAAGCGAGGCAAAACCGGTCGCCATTTTGTTTTTCCGGTCGCCATTTTGGAACTGCCGATCAGCTATGCGTAAACGGAGCGGAAGCGATCATCGCAAACGGCCCGTTTTCGCACAGCTGATCGGCGGGGCCTTTGCGATGATCACAGGGAAGCGATCATTGCAAACGCCCCATGTTCCCACAGCTGATCGGCAGGGCCTTTGCTGTGCAAAAATGGGCCGTTTTATTATCACTTCCCCGCGATCATCGCAAAGCGAATTTTCCCCATAGGGGCCATCGCAAAGCGATCGCTCCTGCGATGGCAAAAAGTCCATCGCAAAGCGATTTCGTCGTAAAACGGAGCAATCGCTATGCGAGGCACCACTGTAATTGATAAAACTGCAGAGCAACGGTATCTAATGCAAGATATTAGGGTCCATAGCTCAGCTGAATATCGTCCTTTGTGTAGTCTTCATTGGAAGCCAAACAAAACTTCCATTTTTCTCAAACACCAGAGCAGCTAGGAACTTCATTAAAGGGGAAAAATCAGGAGTTTCTTAGATAGCAATATTGCGTTCAGTCGACATACAGCATTAACAAATATGAGGAAAGTCACATGACATCAACCTGAAGGTGGTGTCTCACTGGAAGAAAAGTGTGAGAGAAATGTGATAAACAAATGAAATAGTTTAAATTACACTGGCGATTTGTATCTTACTTTTTAAAAACCTTGATTGCCAACCTTGGTGTCTGGGAGTCCAGCCAACCATACATCACTTCTCATCAGTGAGAGCAGGAAACATCTAGTTGTTGTTGGACGTCCCTCAGTGGCCAGCCATTATGGTCAGTGGTGTGAAATAATGGAAATAAGAGAACTACATCTGTAGGGCCATTTTGTTGTTGTTTAGTCGTGTCCGACTCTTCCTGACCCCATGGACCATAGCACACCCGGCCGTCCTGTCTTCTGTAGGGCCATAGGTTCACCTATTCTAGGCCCGGCACAAACCTTTCACCAGCCATCTAATTATTTTAAAAAGTTTTTGTTCTTCTAAAGACACAGCATAAGCTCAGAGTTTTCCTCCCATGCAAAATGATCTTTTAGTTCCTGTCAAGCGGTTAGCTAGTTACATGTTCTTGCCTGATCCTTCCTCCTCAACTTCTTTTCCTTAATATTCATTAAAATCAAAATAACTCTAGGACACAAAACAAATTGACCAAACACTGGTGCCATGTTACATGATTTTTATCTTTGTGTTCTCATATCTTGAAAAGTGTGATACTGATATTCCACTTAATATTCTATTTCTTCCACTTTGTTTATTTTATAAAAAATCATTAGAAAATGTAGGCAATACACCAGAGCCTGAACCAGAGGCCATGGAAGAAGAGATTCCGGAAGGTAAGAATTCTCCTGGTACTGAGCAACTTTCTGAAAGAAATTATGAGGTGGAATCGAGGGGATGCATGAAAGAATGATGTTGGACCACACTGAAGTCTTACCCAGCCTAGCATCCTGCCTGATTCCTTTTGTGCCGTTTCCCGTAACCAAATTTAGTGACAGCAAATCCCATAATTTACCGTATTTTTCCATGTATAAGATGCCCCCCACTTTTCTAATCCAAATAACTGGGGCTTAGCAAGCGTAGGGGGAAAGGGATCAAAGCACTGTAGGATCACTTTGATCCCTGCTTTCACCTCCACTTGTTTTTGTTCTCTCCTCAGCTTACTTCCATGTATAAGACGACCCTCAATTTTTAGTCTAAAGATTTTAGACAAAAGTATAGTCTTATACATGGAAAAAATATGG